GTGTAGCAGAAGTAAAGCTGCACCTGGATTTAACCACATGCTAAGGGACTGTGGTATAGTAGGAAAAGCATACACTTAGAAATTAAAAGTTAAATTTTTCATTTTGTCACTTTGGGCAAATCATTCAAATTCTTTGAGTCCCATTTCCCTCCTTATAAAGTGGGGGTACCTACTAATAGGGTGTTTGTGAGGGTTAAATAATGTAACCAAGATAAAAGGTTTGGCCCATTGTAGGCACCAAATACAAGGAAGTTGAAACTCTGATTTCATATAGAATCACTTTGCTTGAATTCTCCATGCTTGCCTTTTGAGCATTCCATAGCTCATTTACACTCATCCCTGTTGGGTGGGTTAGAGGAAAATGAGACCCAACTCAGCCTCGTCTGCCTAATGCAAGTCTAATGTGTGCAGCTATGGTACCTAATTTTAATTGGTAAAACATTTGTTGAAAATGGTTTAGGGCACAGTCTGATTTTCTTGGTCCAGACTAATGGTGGTTACAGAAACTCACCAGCAAACAGTTTCTGATGATAACCAGTATTTTATTATAGTTTTTCTTTCTGAGAAACAAAATCCAACATCAAAATTTTCATGGACTGAAATGTGTTCATTTCAGGCACTTCCCATACAGAATCTATGGCCTCTCTCCAAATAATCTAAAAATTATTGCCTCCTACCAGACAATTGCTGCTGTCCTGAATCAATACTGAATGTAACTCCCTTTGCAAGTTAGCACAGGTTTCAGACAAGCCTAGTAGATAAAAGGGGAACTCTTTGCAGAAAACAGAGAAATGAGCTGCAGCCTTAGCTTGGCAGAACTATTTATTAAAACGGTGATTTAGGAGATTTTTCAAATGCCACTCTTAGTTGTAGATCTCATTTGAGAACTCTTACCGTCTGCCTCAGGAATGAACATGCTTTAGGACAGCCCTGGCTTGTTTCTGTGGTTTGGTGTAATTATTAATAGTGCCCCCTTTCACTCTCAAGTGTCCCTGTTTGTATGATAAATTCTATGGTCATTCCTTACAGGCTTTTTTTTCAGAGCAAAGCCCATCTCTTTGATGATATATTCTTTGCATTAATCTAAGAAAAATTACTTTAGTTTCCTATAACAGAGTCTTTGGCACCCTATCTTATGGTCATTTAAGTATGTCTTCAGAGCAATAATTAAGAGCCACATAAGCTAATGACTCACTCCCTATGGCTCTCTTGCTGGTGAAAGCAAATAAGGTAATGTCATAGGGACTCATCTAATACAGCAGCCCTGGGAAGGACACATGAGGGTTTCGCGTTATTTTTCAAAGCAATTTCCAATCATTTGTAAGTGCAAGACAATGTACCCACATTGGACAGCAAGGAATGAAGACTCAGAGAAATGTGACTCTGTGTCTCCTGGAATGCCACTCCGTGCTTGAAGTCTGAGCACTTTGTGGTCTTGCACACTTTATACAGACTTGAGCCACCTGCATTTCTGTTCTTCAGGAGAGGGCGTGTTGTGGTGTGGCTATTTGAGGGCAGTCGGATTGTCAGAAGATCATGAGAGATGCTCTGAGAGTTACTGTGGAAGTAGCAGTTTGGCTGCTGTCAGGAGGAGACACATGGAAAAACCTCAGCCATTCTCTTTGCAAGGAGGGAGAGCCTGCTTGTCAAGATAGAGCCAGGCATCCTTCTGCATAGGCCCAAAAAGTGTGAAGGAGATGGATTCATAGGTTGGGACAGATGAGTTCTTATGAAACCTTAGAATGTAGGGGTAAAGGGAGAAAAGAGGAAGAACGATCTACCTGTTTGCTAATGCTGTTTCATCTAAACTGCTCTAGCCTGCATCTAGTTTATATTCTGTACCTGGCAGTTGTAGCCTAATTCTGAGAGAGGGAAAGAAGTTCAAAGCAAGGCAAGGGAGCACGGAAAGTCCTGCTCTCTGGGAAAAAAAAGAAAATGTGCTTGGAGAGCTCTTCTCTGGGGGGCTGGGAAGTGGGGAATGTGCAACAGCTGAGGAGGGAGAATAGAGCCATGTAACCAGAAGAGAACTATGGCACGATGTTGGCTTTGAAATGGCTCTTTCCTAGCCTTTCTCCCAAATCTCCTAAAGGAGGGGCACATCGAGTTCAGGACAGAAAACGTCACCACTTGAGTAATGGGGCTTTGGTGAGGATGGTTAGAACCGGTGGGGGTGTCACTCCTTCCAGAGAATGTCTGGAAGAGCCAGAATTTTGATATCTTCGTCGAAAGTACTCTCCAGAGATCTTGCTGGGTAAAATGAAGGCCCAGCACCTTCATTTTACCCAGAGCACTTCCAGGTTTAGAGACCTCGAGTGACCTTTACAAAGATTTCACTGAACAGCTAACCTTGGGTGCTCACCAAGCCATGGAAATCTAAAAGATTTTAGAAATGCAAACTAAAAGTAATTTCTTCCCACTGTGAAGAACTGTCATGAGACCCAAATGAGTTACTCTGGAAAAAAATTGCACATACTTCCTGCCTTGCCAAGGAACTTGCTCACTATGGTTGTCTCTGTTGTCCCTGATGGGGATTTCCTGTCCCCCAAGAGGCAGTGAGCTGAAATTTCAGGACCCGTTTCTAAATTTTATATGCTTTTGCTTAAAGAGTCCCCTTCCCCCTAATTTTGTGAACTTCGGGTCCCAGAAAACCTGAATCTTGGCCTGCCTGTCCCACACAGCAAATCTAAACATCTGATGCTCCAACATTCTCCTGATCAGAGGAGGAGGTCAGGTGAGTAGCTGAGGATGACTCAGTCTGGGCCTGCTGGGGAAACAAGCTGGGGCCTGTAAAAGCATGGGTCAGGCATAACATAGAGGGCTGGCTCACATTATGTCTCAAACTTTCACCCTTGTCCTCGTTCCTATCACCATTAGCTCCTTGCCCATACCAGACTTGTCTTTCAGATCTACAGAATGAGGATTTTATATCTGGCAAGAGTCTTACTTTGCCATCATCCCTAATTTTATAGGCTCTGAGAATGGCTTAAGCACTTCAGGACTGTGAATTCCTCTCCCTGCAAAGCCAAGCCACGCCACGGGTGTTGGCCAATACATTGAGCAGGTAGAAAGAATACTTGGCTCACTTAGATATAATCTGCCTGGTGTGTCCCTGTGTGGGTAGAAACCAAGGAATGATGGCTATCTATCCCGGGACTCAATAAACACGAACGAGTGCAACTCTGTACACCCTCACTTAGTGCCTATTTTGAACAAGGTTTTCTGAGTTACCCTCTGAGAGGACAGAAAGCCAAGAAGATATAGTGTCTGTCCACTGTGTTTATATCAGTGAACACAGTATAAAAAGCTTGTTCCTCATCTGACATTAATAATTACCATTTATTCAGCACCTACTGTAGGCTCTGCATTTTATTATATTTTCTCTAGTCTTCTCAACAACTCTATAAGGCAGACATTACCCTCACTTTGTTGATGTGGAAACTGAGGCTCAGAGAGGTTATGTGATTTGTCCAGGCAGGCATCTAGGGCAACCCTCTGCTTGTGGAGGCTGAATGTCAGAGGAAGACAGAAAGCAAGGGTGTGTGAAGCCTTCCATTCTTGGTTTCACACAAAGGTCTGGATTAAAATCCCTGTTCTTACACCTGTGCGGCCTTGGGGAAAAGCTGCTCTCTTAGTTTCCTCATCTACAGATTGAACAAAATACTCCCCTTCATAAAGCAGTTGGAAAGATGCAATGAGATAATGCCCCAGCACATTCAGGCACAGAATGACTCATTTGCTATAGAATACCCATCTCCTCAATCTGCTTGCCACTTGTGCACCAACTTCAGGTCTCTACTGAATCGCTATCTTGTGAGTGAGAACTCCCCGGCCATCCTACCTAAAAGGCCAACCCCATTCCAACTCTTCATATACCCTTCCCTACTTTACACCAAGTAATGTATTAAAAATTGTATTCATTTATTTTTGTTTATCTTGTTTGTCTTTGCCCACAAGAATGTAAAACTTTTGAGACCAGGATAGTTTTCCTCACTACCTGTTTGACCCTCGGTACATTACTTAAAATGTCTAGGCCTTGGTTTCCTCATTTGTAAAATGCGAAGAAATGTTTGTTATTTTTAGGGCTGCTTGGATGATTAAGTGACATGGATAAAAACTGGCAGGTAGCACGTACTGGATAAATGCTTCCTGTTACCACTTAAAATAATCTGAGCAGTTGTTTAACCTGTCTTTCAGTAAAACTCAAATCTGTTAGGCTAGGAGAGGGGGAGGCTAAAAACTGCCGACGCCCTCAGTGTTTCAGCCCAATTATCCTCCTTTGTGGACCATAAACTGTTGAATATAGGTGACATCATATATGTTCACAATCCCAGGCTGCTGATAGGTCCGGATTACCATTACCAGGTCACTGCAGAAGGAGGCTAGGGCAGCCCAAAAGACTTGCCCAAGGTCACTGCCTCAAAATCCAGGACATGCAGGGCCTACACACACATCCTGTCTCTTGAAATTGTATCACACGCTGCCTCTCCTTCCAGTTTCTCTCTGTAGTGTGGGATGGTGGCAAGGCCCATGGCCTCAGGAGCCCAGTCTTCATTCAGCCACCCTTGTCATTGATTGTCATCTCCTGCAATTCACTTAACATTTTAACACTCAGTTTTCTGGTGCAACCCGATCCTCACAGCTTTATAGACAGGATCACAGGCGAGAAAAACTCTGGAAACTGTGAAGCGCTGTATGCATTACCTCTGCAACAGGTATTATCACGTGAACCCTCAACTTTCCAGTCCCAGGAATCCCTCCAGTTTGTACTCCGCTCGAAAGCAGCACAGCGCTGGATGGAAAGGCAGATTAACCCCCAAGTGCCTGTCAGGGCGTTGCTCCAGCAGGCGGGGGAGGAGTTCCGCCCCTCGCCCCCGCCCCGCCGCCTCCTCTCCCTTGCGCGGGCACTCGCGCTCCTCTCCCGGTGTCTCCATCCCGCCCAGGCCCCGGCTGCGCTTCCCGGCCCGGCAGGCTCGGCACGGCACGGCGGGCGGGCAGCCAGGATGCAGGCGGCGAACAAGGAGCACCTGTACAAGCTGCTGGTAATCGGCGACCTGGGCGTGGGTAAGACCAGCATCATTAAGCGCTACGTGCACCAGAACTTCTCCTCGCACTACCGGGCCACCATCGGCGTGGACTTCGCGCTCAAGGTGCTTCACTGGGACCCGGAGACAGTGGTGCGCCTTCAGCTCTGGGACATCGCAGGTGAGGACTGGGGAAGGAGGTCCGGGGACGGGAGCGCCTCGCAGCTTGTACCCCGTCCCGAGGCAGAAGGGTTGCGGCCAAATAAGGGAAGCAGGTCTCCGGGACGCTGAGCCGAAAGAGACTTTTCCCGGTGTTTTGGAAACTTGGCTCCAAAGAAAACAAAAAAGTTTCTCGCTTTCGCTGAAATTTGCAGCGGACTCACTGGCGCGTGGGGCTGCTGCTTTAACTACCTCTCGCACGCTCTCCTGGGATCTTTCTGTCCAGCGCGGGCCTCTCCGGGGACGCAGAGGGAAACCTATTTAGACTTGCATTGAGTTCTTGGCCTACAGCTCATTTTCCGGGCTGGTGACGCGACCCGGACTGCCATGCCCGCCCTTCCCTGCCCAGTCCAATCCAGGGGAAGCCCCTAAATCGGTTCACAGCAGAAACCGAGAGAGTTCCAGGCTAGAGGAGTTAATTCCTTTCTTCAGTCGCTCACTTTATTCCAACTTTCTTCATTCCCTTTTCTACTGTCAGTCAAGCGAGTTGGAGGTGCTTTTGCTTTGAGGAAGCCACAGAGCTTCCTAATGTACATGTGGGGGCAAAGTATTCCTTCTCTCCCCTGCTCCCACACTATATCTATCTCTCTGGCTCTCTGTCGTCTCTCAGAAGGAGTTAGTGTGTATATTTTAGGGACATTTTTATCTATGGGTTTATGACATTAAACATAAGATTTCTTGATTTGGTCCTAAAGCTTTCGCTGAGAAACCTGGAGAACGAGAAGCTTCTTTACGATGTTTGAAATCAGAATTTGATTCCGAGAGTTTGTACCAGGAGGTGGGCACAGTTGAAAGTGAGGAAGCAGTGTCTACTCTCAAGAGTGAGTCCCTGGACTGAGGCTGTTTGCACCTGGTGGTGTTCAAGTCCTCATTATAGATCCTGGTCCTGACACTCACTAACATGCTCAGTTGCTTCAGACAAGCGTCTCTAGCTCATTGTGTCCCTGCTGAATGCGGAGGGGTCTGGCCTGACAGCTCAGGAATCTCCCAGCTCACTGCTCGGAAGCTTTAAGGTCCTCTGGGATTCTGGGGTGAATCACCTTAAACAATCCCACTTCGCCTCTGACTCTTTCATGGTCTGTGGCACTGAGAACTTTTTCAAGTGCTGGGCCCAAACTAGCTGCTTCCCCTTCAGAAAATAAGTTCATTTTAGCTAGTGCATTTGACTGGAAACACTTTATCATGGCTTGAAGCAAGAACAAATGTGGAAAATTTTTGAAAGGGCATTTCTGATCCTGGAGGCTCCAGTGCCTCTTTACTCATCAGCTGCCAGGTCTTATGATAAAGCTCTTGGCATGTGGACAGATTCATGCATTCAGAGTCATCTTCAGCAGCTGTAGTAGCACAGGGGTTATCAGAGACCGGAAGATGTCATCAGCCACTATCCGATTGGACTTTTCATCTAGAAAATCCACTATGAGTCTGTGTACTTTGTTCTAACTCTTGATGAGTTAGAAGTCTCCAGGACTTGGGTTTAGAATTAGCTTACCTGTTTGAAAGGGTAGCCATAATTTAAACTTAAGTGTCAAATGCAAGGAAGGATGTGACCTCAGGCATTTTATACAATGTCCGTGGGTCTCAGTGTCCTCACCTAACAGGGAAGAAAGAAGGTCACCAGGGTTAAGCTGCTGCTGTGTGAATCCATGTTTTATCTCACATGTCCTAAGAAATTTTTAGGCAAGTTCCCTAACCTTCTGGCTTCAGTTTCCTTATCTGTAATAGGCGAAATGCTTTCTCCCAACAAGTAAGAGATAAGCAACTAACGAACACTGGCTAGACCCGATAATACTTCTATCTAGGAGAGCTGCAAGGGTTATTTTTAAAGTCGCTACCATTTTTTGAGCATGTATAAATGCTAGGCAAGAAGGACATGATATAAATATGCTGATTAAATTCTAATAAATAACGATGTCTTTATTACATTCCAAAATATGTTATTTATATGTTCCAAAATACCCAGTATCATTTTTCAGCTTTACCCATATTACAACATGCTGTCATGAGCAGTATAACTCCAAAGCTTAGACATGCCTCCTGAGCTCTGGTTCTGGACTAAGGTTGCCATAGAGACAATAGTCACAGAAGGTTGGGTAGATGAGAAGTCTGAGGAGCCTTGGAAATTCAGCTCTACAGATATGGTGGTGTGCAGCATCTCAGTAAGGGAGCTTCTTTGTCCCAGGGCTCTGATGTTCTGTGGTAACCTGTCTTTGGCAATCTCCAGCCTAGAGGCTAGGTAGGCTGAATTAGAAGTTGGGCAGCAGGCTAAGCTGGTGGGGTAAGTTGGGCCATTGTAGAAAAGGATGTCTGGAGCATAGTAGTAACATGTTTCAGGCTGCATAGGTAGCCCTGTGGGGAATGAAGTCACGAAATTCAGCATCAACTGCCCACCTAGACTCCAGTTAGCTAAGTGTACTTTATACACTTCAGATCATAGCCTGACTCATCAAACATAGACATGCTTCTCTCTCTCCGTTGTGCTTAACTCTGTTGTGTGTCTGGAGAGAATGTGTAGTGAAGACTGGTGGGCCTCTCTTTGAGAGGGTTTGGGGTGTGTTTGAGATAGAGACCTGTCCTGTCCTGGTGGGATATCAGATCAACTTGCTGGAGAGGGAATCTTTGCTCATTTAGACTCTTGATGTTTTTTTGGTTTAATGCCAAGTGGGCCCTATTTGTCCAGCAAATTCCCATGATATATCTCTTGTAGCCACTTAGCCTGGGCAGTCTGATCTTGAAAGACTCCAGGGCTTATGAACTTGACCTTGAAACCAACATGAAAAGTTGCACAGGCCGTAGGAGACTAGCCATCACCCTCATCCTAGTGATTCCACTTTAGAGGAACAACTGGACCAGCTATGGCTTCAGAAGTTCTTGATAGAGTGAGAAAAACTGAGTCACTTTGCCCAAGGCCACCCAGCTAATAAGTGGGAGAGCTGGAGTTGACCCAGTTCTGTCTGGCTTGGAATCAAGCCACAGTGTTTATGGCCATAGGCCTGTGAGTGCCTGGTGCACAGGTGGCCCACAAGGTTTATGCCCTCTTCCTCTTTAAAGGCTTTGCTTCTTCAGTAGATGGGTTATCCTTGCCTGTTCCTTCCTATTTCTAATGGGCTTTTGGATATTATACAGTACCCCTACGCAGACAGTGGAAGGAAGTGGAATGAAAATGTGCTTTTGAAAATTTGATCCTTGCTTATAGGTTTTATTCTTTTTATAGATTTATCAGAAAAAGAGTAAACAAAATGATCACACTTGAGACTTTTTTTTCCTCTGGATGTGCTTTGGGACCTAACTGCAGGAACTGGGACAGAGTAATAGTAGCTAACATTTCTTAAGCACTTATTCTTACAATTATCCACACATGTTTAATTTCCCAGTAAAGTAGCTGTTTAAGTGGTAGTGCTGGGAATTTAAAACTTGGCCCTTGAATCTAGCACCCAGGTTCCTAACAGCTTTGCTCTACTTCCCATAACTTAAAAATGGAATCCTTTAAACATATTCTAAATACATTCTAAATTATAGATTTGATTTTCCTGTGATATCATATTTATACTATACTATCTCTTGCCATCTGTGTCCATTTTAATATATTCTACTGGATTCAGGTAGTATGTGCTAGCTTATTCCAACTTCTTACTCCAAGTAATTTGTGCAAGTTACTCAGCTTCTATGTCTTGGTTTCCTGTCTACAAATTGGAGATAAGAGCAAAATCTGCCTCTTAGGCTTATTAAAAGAATGAAATGAATCAATTCATGTTAAGCTGGGCCTGACACATAATAAATGCTGAATAAATATTAGCTATTACACTTGTTGTTTTAATTGTTATTACCAACTACTTTCACATACAATTTCCAGCTTGATCTTCCCAGCATCACAGAGGGTATAGACAGAGCAGGGTGTGTTAAATCTATTTTATATTAGAGAACATTAAAAGTCAGAAAGGTAAGGTAGTTGCCCAAGGACACAAGAGCTAGCAAGAGGCCAAGAAGAACAAAAACAGCAGAGACCCAATTCTCGACTTAACCAATGTAGTGGAAAGTAAATTAAATAGACAGATAATTTAGAGAATGCTTCTTCGCTATGTGAAAGTTTTACTGCAAGGCTGTACTGAATAATCAATGCCTCTAAATATTTAAAACAAGATCCAACTTATAAGAAAAATATTTTCCTGCAGGGCATATCTGTTCTAACTTTCCCAGCCTAAGCCATGTGACAAAGAAGCATTGGAGGACATTAACTATCCAACAGGCAGAGTGAAAGAGGGAAGCAGCCTGAAGCGAGGGTCAGGAGCCCCGGGACACTGACTCCGCACACAAGTGGCTGTGAGACTTGTCTGGGTCAGAGTGGTGTATTGTTTTAGAGGCTATCAAGTGCTTCCACATGGGTTTGTACTTGACCATATCCTCAGTACCTATTTCAAAATACTGCAATTCTCCAAGAAGTTTTAGAAGAAGGGTCCTAAATATCAACATAATATATCTAGAAATGTAGAAAGAGCTACATTTGGCAACCACTATGTCAAGCAAAAAAAAAAAAAAAAAAAAAAATCATATCTAATTGGGACTGCTCTCTGCTGAGCAATTTACTTCCTGGATAATTGTAGATTTTCTAAATACAGCATAGACTAAAATGCTATGTGCTTACAGGTAAATAATACATACACTGAGCAGAAGAGTGAACTGTCAAAGTAGGGTGAGGGAATGTGTGTGGAAAGCATCACAGGAATTCCTGCAGAACAAGCATTAGAACCCCCATCTGGCACAGACATGTGAACATAAGGCCTATGGGACATGTCCCCTCATCTAGATTTTAGAGGACTAGTTCAGACAGAAGAGCACATAGCAGACTGACCAAGGAAAGCTAAGTCATTTAAGGGAAGGTGAGGATGGGAGGAGCAGCTCTTATTGGGTGCGGTTGGTTTTTTCCGCAGGTATGTATATTAAAAACTTGGTATGTGTTAAGTGCTG